CCTACTTCCACAGGAGGAGGGGCTCTGCTTTTATTCCACATGTGTTTACGGGGGTGATTTCATTTCAAAAATGGATTTGTTTCTAAGGACACACACAGTCTGCAAAATCCTGGTGCAGTGGAGAGTGTTGAAAAGTCTGTTTCTAGACCTGGCATTATTGGGGCAGGCCTGGCCTCAGTCTCCTCATCTAGAAATAGGAACGAATGGAAATAGCTTTCCAACCACAGGGCGAGAGCTGTCAATTCTTCAAAGCTGCACTCTCCAGCCTGCATGCGGCCCCTGGGGAGCAGACACTGGTGATTCTGACCCAGGCGGTCTGCAGACCACAACTGGACAAACATCACTTTTGAAAAGTTCCTACAAAAGAAGATTTGATGTCCGAAAGGAGTTACAACAAGCCAGTAGAGTGGTTACCTCTGGGAAGGGAAGCAGGAGGCCTGAGGGCACATGAGGGCAGAAACTTGCCTCTCACTGTGTTCTCTTTTATACCTTTTGAATTTTGTACCCCATGCATGTACATGTACATGTAGATGGGTAACATGTATATGCATGTATGTACAAGGTAACCATCTACATAATAAATGTACATTTATTTGAGAAAATAAATTTTAAACATTTAGAGCATTTTTCAGGTTCAAGGTCGAACACCAAACGCCCCACATAGGACCATTCCTGGTTTCTGTGGGGAGAATCGCACAGGGTGACCCAGGGACCCCCAGGAGAAGGGGACGGAGAGTCACCCAATAAACCTCTCCCGTAGGCGTGTCACCCAAGCTGGGTGAAGGGTGGCAGGTCCTGAGCTGTGACTGTTTCCCTTAGGGGAGATGCCCGAGGATGCCAGAGATGCTAAAACCAAGCAGAGCAAGACAAACCAACACCCACTGCACAGGGAGGGGAGGGAGCAGGAGGGCCGCATACCTGACGAAAACCACCTGGAGGTGTGTGGCAATGCCAGGACTCCGTGTTCCCTGCCTCCAGTGTCAATTCCTCCCAGCGAAGGCCGTATCTCATTCATCTTGTGTGTCTAGTGCCTATGCCCAGGCCTGTTTATGAGCCAGATGCAAATGCCCAAGGAAAGAACACTTCTCACAGCCCCGCGCCCGGCATCGGCGTCACTGCTGCCACCCCGTCAGGCCACAGCTCCCAAACCGTCTTCCCTTCTATTCCAGCGGAGCTTCCCACAGTCCTGTGAAACAGGCATGACTATTCTTTTCTTTTGGAAAGATGTAAGCTTTTTTAAAAAATATATTTTTATTGATTTCAGAGAGTAAAAGGGAGAAGGAGAGAGAGAAACATCAATGATGAGACAGAATCATCGATCGGCTGCCTCCTGCATGTCCCCCCGGGGGATTGAGCCCACAACCCCGGCATGTGCCCTTGACCGGAATCAAACCTGGGACCTTTCAGTCCGCAGGCCGACGCTCTATCCTCTGAGCCAAACCGGCCAGGGCTATTATTGTCACGAACCCATGAGGGAACGGTCTTGCGTGTACCGCCTTGTGTTTTGTGGTGAGCTCTTGGCCAAGTCAGTTCACTTCGCTGGTATTTGTCATCTGTAAAAGGGAGCCGTTGTTGCTGATATATCCACAGGCCAGGGGACCAGAAGAATGACAAGGTTCAAAAAGGTGACTGGCCAGAGGCAGCACGGGAGGGACAGAGATCAAATTCAAACCCAGCTTCTGAGTGGAAGTCTTTCTGCTGCCCCCCAGCCTCAAGGTGGAGGCGGCTGTGGCTCCTCATGGGGCCAGGTGGGGCAGAGCGCCTTGGGAAGGGTGAGTAAGCCCACTTGCTTTCTCTTCTTGCTTTTGGTCATCATTAGGAATGTGCTAGGAGAAAGAGGTCAGGCAAAGGCATACCTTCATACTTACTTAATCACCTTTTTTGGTGGTTGTTTGTTTAATATATTTTTATTGATTTCAGAGAGGAAGGGAGGAGAGAGATGGAAGCATCAATGATGAGAGAGAATCACTGATTGGCTGCCTCCTGCACGCCCCCTAATGGGGCTTGAGCCCACAACTTGGGCATGTGCCCTTGATCGGTGTAGAACCGAGAACCTTCAGTCCCCAGGCTGACGACACTCTATCCACTGAGCCAAACCAGCAAGGGCTATTATTATTATTTTTATTTGTTAGTATATGTGCTACCAAAGCAAGCACAGATTTCTCTTATTTTTGTTAGTTATATCTCTCGATGTGCTTTTGGCCAACTGACTACACCCCTCAGTTTTGCCATCTGTAAAATGGGGCCATTGTCCCTGCCACCTCGCCGGCCCGGGCAGAATGAAAGGCTACAAGGAAAGAGAGCAGGGGCGAGGTTATTTGTGCCTGGCGTTTCCTACAAACAGATTTCTCCCTCCTCCCCCAGGATCTGTCCCGAAGAGGCATCTGGAAAGTCAACAGAGCCAGCCAGTCTGGGAGCTAAACAATCAGCAGCCGACGCGGTGTCCGCGGGGACAGAACAGCTATTCAGACGGTGGGGGCGGTGAGCGGGGGCCCCGCGGCGAAATGTGGAGAAAGAAGCGCCTCGCACGC